GCCACAATTTAATGTAAGATCAACTTTAAATATATGTATAATGTAGAATTATTAACAGAATATATATATGTGCATTTATCTGCTGGTATCAGTATCACACAACATAGAATCTACATCAATGTTGTGTGATATGATACCAGCAGGTAAATGAGTATTGTTATAACAACATTACAGGTAGAAAAAGTTACGAAACTATTCTAAACAACTATATAAAGAATATAATACAAGCACAAGAACAAATTTTAACGGATATTATTATAAAATGACATGCATTATTACAGAATTACACGCAGAAAAAAATGATAAATGGTGAAATGGCAAACCAAAGATTGTGGGAGAAAGAAATAATAGAGAAGGAACGCATTTCAAAGAGAACAGATGCAATATTTTGTACAAGCGATACAAGCAATTGATTCTGAGGCCCCGCCGTCAAATTATGGAATATCACAAAATTTTTTTATGCCTCAAAATTATGGAATATCAACAAACTATAGGCTGCCACAAAATGTTAAAATTATTCCAGTATGTTTATAATAAAATTAATCTTATATGAAGTGAGATTTACATAAGCCACATTCGCAAACTTAACAAATTTAATTGTAGAGATTGAGAAGCGGATTAGTTAATTCCGTTAGATCTAACAACATTGACTATTTCTCTTTTGAATCCTTATGGTTCAATTCGTTAAATTTACGGATACGACTTATATAGATTCCGCTTTATATCACAATACATATATACTTATATAACATCTTGATTTAACAGATGAAAGAAAAAAATATCAATAGGTCAAGCCAAATAAATATAATAACATCAACGGCGTCAACATTCACATCTTCTACCATTACTGAGGAGAACAACGACAGTTCCAAAGCATGAAAATTTGTTGGAACGTACTGAAAATAATATTACAAACAATATTATACAATTACGTACAAGCAATATTACAACTATGTACTGAAATGTAATGAAATAAAATATATATAAGTATGTACATTATAAATCGGACCAAAGTATTATAAAATATATTAAGTTTAAAATTTTAACTAATATATTGAGACCAAAGTATTATTAAGGTTAATTAAAAATTTAAGTTTATTAAAGTATATTTAGATACGTATATTAGAAAATAAGATAACATATTATTAAAATATAAATATGTTAAAATATACTATGAAAAATAAAATATAAAAAATAAAATATAAAATGTTATACACAGTCTGTCCCAAATACGATGAGACTGGTTCCATCAAAGTTCTTAGCGCAGCGATATCTATGAGTGAATGATGGTAGGTGAATGTTCTACCCTTCATCTACTTAACCTCAAAATTTGAGCGAATTCGGTTGATATTTCACTGTGGTTTGACATTTTATGTAAAGTCACTTTGTGTACGTTGGTCGAAAAACCAACTTTTAAATTGGGTAAAAGTGGTGCAGAAACGTACGAAACGCTAAAAAATGTGTACGGGGATGAATGCATGTCCCGTGCACAGGTTTTCCGTTGGTTTGGCCGATTCCGTGACGGTCGTGAGGACCTTGCAGACGATGACCGAGCACCGCCGCCAAAAACCACTCGCAATGAAGAAAACATCGAAAAAGTCAAAGAAATTCTTCGAAGCGACCGCTGTGTGTCTGCCCAGATATTATCTGGGAGTTCTACAACGATTGTGGGCCAGAATTCGACGAGTTCGACCGGAATATCAAGAGCCAGGCAGCTGGTTTTTGTTGCACGATAATGCACCATCGCACAAAGCCATCATGGTACGTGAATTCTTGACCAAAAAAGGCATCATTGTTATCGATCATCCACCGATATTCACCTGATTTAGCTCCGTGCGACTTCTGGCTATTTCCCAAACTGAAATTGGCGATGAAAGGAAATCGTTTCGATACCATCCCGGTCATCCAAAAAACTTCGACCGCCATACTAAAGGCCATTCCAACCGATGAGTATAAAAAATGTTTCGAAAAATTTGTTGAACGTTTCCAGCGCTGTATTGACTCAGAAGGAGATTATTTTGAATAAACAAGAATAAAAAATCAAAATAATAAACGCTTTGTATTTTTTTTAGACCAGTCTCATTGGATCTGGGACAGACTGTGTATAAATAAATAGAAACATTTATTAATATTTATATTTATTGTACATATATTTATTTATTATACATTAATATATTTTAATATGAATAAAAATATAATAATAATATTTGTACCTATTTTTACAATTAAAACCTATATTATTTATAGCTATAGTATTTATTATATTTAAAATTATTATTATTTGCACAAAAAATCACTTTTCGAATCTTAAGTAGCGTCCCAAAAGACAAAATAATTCCATTTTACAATATCAAAGGAAATAATTTATCTTAATAGCGTTATTCGAAGAGGGAAGTTTGCAACTAAATAATCTTTTAGACATTCTCGTATATTAGTAGAACGTACATTGTCTCGTTCACGACTTATTTGTTGTCTTGGTTGCACAAATAATTCATCTAACTCAATAACAGGTTGCAACCACTCTTCAAGAAATTTGTCTTTATTGTGTTCACAAAAATTGTGCAGCACACAATACGCAACTATAACTTGAGGTACAAATTTATAATTACAATCCATTTTTTTTTGTAACATCCTCCATTTGGCTTTCAGCCTTCCAAATGCCATTTCCACTGAAACTCTTACGGAATTGAGATAGACATTAATTGATTCTTGTTCAGGTGAAACTGAACCAGGATAACTCTTTATTAGCCATGGCAGAAATGGATACGCTGGATCTCCAACTATCATAAAAGGTATTCCTTGACCGTTTATGTGTTTTTCCACCTAAAATAAAATAAATGTTTCTTTTATAGAAATATATGTGCTAAAATGCTAAAATGTATGTGTTTATATACATATATATATATATTCTATATATTATGCTGTTAATAGCGGATATAGATGAGGAGTTGAAGAAAGGAGGATGGGGGGGGGTAAGGTTAGGGGAAGAAAAAGTGTATACGTTAGCGTATGCAGACGACTTGGCGGTACTGGCAGAAAACGAGGAGGGGATGAAGGGGATGATAGGGAGGCTGGAGAGGTATGTAGAAAGGAAGGGTTTGGAAGTGAACATAGAGAAAACGAAAGTAATGAAGTGTAGAAGGAGTGAAGGGAGATGGAGGAAGGTGGATTGGAGGTGGAAGGGGAAGAGAATAGAGGAAGTGAAGAAGTATAAATATTTAGGATATGTGGTGATGAGGAATGGGGGGTAGGAGGTGCAGGTGAGAGACAGGGTAAGGAAGGGAGCGAAGGTGATGAGGCAAGTATGGGAGATAGGAAAAAGGAGGTTTGGAAAAGATTGGGGAAGGAGAATATGGTTATTTGACAAGCTGGTATGGCCGGTGATAAGTTACGGGGTAGAAGTGTGGGGATGGAGAGAGAGGACGAAAATAGAAGAGCTGCAAGAAAGATATTTGAGATGGATACTGGGGGTAGAAAGGTGGACGCCAGGGTATATGGTGCGAGAGGAGGTGCAGAGGGAGTTATTGAGGAGCAGAGCAGGAATGAGAGCGTGGTGGAGAGGGGTATGAGAAGAGATTGGGAGAGGGGAAGGGGGGAGATATAGCAAGAAGGTGCTAGAGGGAGATGAGAAATAGGACGGGGAGAGGAAAAGAAGCGGGGAAATGGGAAGAGGAGAGGAGAAGGTTCTTTGAGGATAGGGGGTAGAAAATAGACGAGATAGAGGAAAAGAGGGAAAAGGGAGAGGAGATAAGGGGAGAGGAAATAAAGAGTAGAGAAAGGAGAAGGCAGGAGGAGGAGAGATGGGAAAGGATAAGAGAGTCAAGATACAATGAGGGATACGGAAGGGTGAAAGGGAGGGGAATACTAGGATATCTGAAAATGGAGTGGGGAGAGAAAAGATGGAGGAGGATAGCGAGATTTAGGCTAGGGTGTGAGTTGAGAGGAGGAAGATACTGGGAGGAGGAGGAAAAGAGGAGGTGTAGGATGTGTGGGAGGAGAGAGGAAACTTGGAAACATATATGGAAGGAGTGGGGGGAGGAAAGGGGATGGAAGGAGGTGGAGGGGGAGGTGCTAGGAGAGAAGGGAAAGGGGGAGGGGTGGATGAGGGAAATGGAAAAATTGTGGGAAAGTGAGGGGGAGGAAGGAGAGGGAGAGGGAAATAGAAGGAACGGCGGAAACGGAGGTCATGGTGTGAGAGGAAAGGAATGGAAAGTGAGAGAGAGGGAGAGAATGGAAGAGTGAAGGAGTGTGGTGTGAATGAGGAGCGCTCTCTCTCTCTCTCGTGCGTAGTGTAAGAGGCGAAGAAGTAGAGTAGAATGTAAATGGCAGGTCAAAGAATTGTAACCCCAAGGGGAGTCAATAAAATATCTATCTATATATTCTATATATGTATTATAAACGCATTTACATACATTTTTTTGTATGAAATTAATGATAAATAAATTAATAAAGACCAATCAAAAAGAACCATACAGAGCAAAAAAGGCCAACAGGATCGAACAAGAAAAATATCAAATTCAATAAATATAATGACAAATAGTTCATTACTATTTCAATTAAATTATATATTATCTACTATTCGTCAGTTAAACACTGTACAGATAAGAAAAATTTCACATTCATTTCGATATGTTGAGAATACACTTGTCAAAATAGACATAATATAATCAGTTTAATTTAAAAGTTGATTCTATTGGCGAGAATCAAATAATAATTTATAATGTGTTTAAATTAATAAGAAAAATGAAAACCTGTGGTATTACTTCTTGTGAGTGTTTGTATAATGTACTATCTTTGAAAACCACGGCATCATGAACACTACCAGGATGTTTGGCGAAAACATTACGAAACCTATAAATAATATGTAACGGTCGCGCCTCCGGGCTCGGTTTTTCAGGTTGATCCGACCCTGTGGATTGGATCGTTGTTTGCGACCACAGGAGAGATTTTTAGGTGAAGGTGTGTGTGTATGTGCGTGTCAATAATAGAAGACAAATAAGTATAACACAATAAGTCTTTATTTGCACGTTACGACCGCGTGCCGTGACGCGACGTCCCAATGTTTGGGTGTTTGGTGATCGTGCGAGTTGTTTCCGCGGTCGCTACGGTCCACGCGGGGTCACAGTTGTGAGTAAGCGATTTGCTTGATGCTTAATTACGCAAGTATCTCGTATGGCGCTTGATTCATACAGACGGTGAGTGTGGAGCCACCGATTAGTGATCGCGCGGTGTGCGCGATCCTATAATATGCGCTGCTGGTGTTTCCGCCGTGATTTAAAGCTCGAGTTTGGGCGATTCGGCACGCGACTTGACGACGGGTCGCAAAAACTGGTACAAGAACGCATCGCGACACGTCGCGCTCGTTTTTGTCGGCCGCAGTGTCGACTGCCTTGGTGGTCGAAGGGTGCGAGTATTCCTTGCGCGCTGGGTTGATGTGCTAAATCCTAGCTGGTCAGCTCTTGCCTTCCCGGGGTCCTACTTTATGAAATAGAGAAAAAAATAATGTAAGATCGTTCCGGAGAACGCACCGGAGTGACGGCAAACTCGCCGCGCGATCTCACTATCGCAATAGAGACGGCACAATAACGGGTGATCATTCCGGAAAACTCACCGGAGTGACGGCAAACTCGCCGCGCGATCTCACTATCGCAATAGACGGCACAATAACGTGTGATCGTTCCGGAGAACTCACCGGAGTGACGGCAAACTCGCCGCGCGATCTCACTATCGCAATAGACGGCACAATAACGTGTGATCGTTCCGGAAAACTCACCGGAGAGACGGCAAACTCGCCGCACGATCACACGATCGCAAAGAGACAGCACAATAATGTGAGATCGTTCCGGAGAACGCACCGGAGTGACGGCAAACTCGCCGCGCGATCTCACTATCGCAATAGACGGCACAATAACGGGTGATCGTTCCGGAAAACTCACCGGAGGGACGGCAAACTCGCCGCACGATCACACGATCGCAAAGAGACAGCATAATAATGTGAGATCGTTCCGGAGAACGCACCGGAGTGACGGCAAACTCGCCGCGCGATCTCACTATCGCAATAGATGGCACAATAACGGGTGATCGTTCCGGAAAACTCACCGGAGAGACGGCAAACTCGCCGCAACGATCACACGATCGCAAAGAACAGGTACTAGTAATCACCGTCGTGGACGGCCTGGTAACTAACTTACGAATTCGGCAGGAGCTTCTCGGTTGATCCTCTCTCGGAAAAAACTATCTGCGGAGACGGAACTCTGGAGACTTCCCTTTCGTCAAAATCTGCCGGGATTATATACCCGAGATTTTGGAGCTTCGGTTTTCTTCGCCCTTAATCGGTGATAATTCCGCTTTTTAATCGGAATTAATCGTGATTATGCGGCGTTTGCCGAAGATGGCTTCGGCGGTGCCGCTAGCTCGGCTCAGCGGCCGTCTGTGCCCGAGCGTCGTTGCCTGGTGGTCGGGCATGTTCGGCTGAGCGCGACGTTTAGGCGCGGTGTCAGCGCAGGTCGGGGGGTATGCGCTCAGCTGACTGCCGCGTGCTGTTAGGCGGCAGTCAGCGTAACGGCGTAAAGATTTTTACGTCGTTACAAATATTATAAATAATACAATTATTTGTACTAGGTGCGCAACTAAGTTTCCGGGTTTCACACATGGATGGCGCTAACGACGATGTAGTCGACATACATGTCTGAAATTGTGTTTTTTTACAGCTTGGACATCTGTTAACAATAACCAGTCGTAATACCAACACATATCGCAACGCAAAAATATTTTTTCTAACAACGAAAATGTCGAGTTTTGTACCAAATAAACAGCATTTGCGGGGAGCTTTACTTTTCTGCTTTAACTTGAAAAAAAAGTGCAGCTGAAGCACGTCGTTTGCTTGAGGAGGCCTACGGCGAACATGCTCCATCAAAAACTACCTGTGAAGATTGGTTTAAACGCTTCAAAAGTGGCGATTTCGACACTGAGGATAAGGAGCGCTTCGGAAGACCAAAAACAATTGAGGATGCCGATCTGCAAGCGTTATTGGATGAAAATGATACGCAAACACAAGATTAACTTGCGGAGGCATTAAACATGACTCGCCAAGGTATTTCCAAACGTTTACCATTTGCCATGGGAAAAATTCAAAAGGAAGAAAAATGGGTGCCGCATGAGTTGACTGAGAGCCAGATGGAAAATCGAAGAGCCACTTCCGAAATTTTGCTTTTGCAACATGAAAGAAAGAGTTTCCTGCATCGAATTGTTACTGGCGATGAGAAGTGGACATATTTCGAGAATCCCAAACGCAAGAAATCGTGACTTTCACCTGGTGAAGCATCAACATCGACGGCACGGCCAAATCGTTCCGGAAAGAAAACAATGCTCTGCGTTTGGTGGGACCAGAAAGGAATCATGTACTATGAGCTGCTGAAACCGGGCGAAACTGTCAATGGGCATCGTTACCAACAACAACTGATCAATTTGAACCATGCATTGCTTGACAAACGGCCAGAATGGGACACGAGACACGAACGAGTGATATTGCAGCACGACAACGCTCCGTGCCATCGCACTTCCATCGTCCAGGATACCATCAAAATGCTGAAATGGGATCTGCTACTGCACCCGCCGCACAGTGTGCCGAAAGCCCCGAAAAGTGGCCAAAATTAATTATGGCTGAACCAGGAAGGTTAACCAAAAACTGATAATTGGAAATAGAACTGTAGCATGAGGAGTTATTTTTCTCGTAAAAAGGAAGTTGCAAAAATCAATGTTGCAATGAATTGTTATAAACAAATAACTAAATAATAAGTGTAGAACAAAACTGATTACGCTACTCGATTCTACGGGAAAAAATACGAAAGTAACATAATAGCGTAATAACAAAATAATATTGACATATTGTTTAAGTAAATAACACGTATATTTTTGTTTTTATATTTTTTTATTTTTGTTTATTTTATTTTTTTTTGTTTTTATATTTTTGTATTATTTTATGATATATAGTTATTCACCATGCAATAAAACTGTATCTTCCAAAGTTGGAGCTGCTAACAATTGAAGAACTTCTGTAGGAAAAGGATCAGCTTTTTTAACAGAAGTTTGTTTGAAGGACGAAATGATAGGGTCTGAGGAAAGCAAAAGTCTTTTAAATAAATCCTCGTTCATCGCGATTCTCGATATTTTTCGGGTATGATATTCTCTTATATCTCTGCAATCCTTATTCCTAGTTTCTTGAGCTTCCTCAGAAAGAAGACCAATCGGTAAAATAGATGCTGATATTATGCTAGCCCCATGTACAAGTAATTTATGTACAGAAGCGGGCATAAAGTACCAGCTATACAAACGGATGTATAGTTGAGCTGTCTCATAACAATAGGTACCAAATTTATATACCAAATTTATATACGCGCTATACCCATTACCCATAAGGATTCCCATTTCTACCTAGGAGGAGATTTCTGTCACGGTAATGTTATAAAATAGTTTATATATATAAAAACAAAGCAACAAAAAATGTTTATTTTATATAACCTTTAGCTTTTATATTTATAATTTTCATATTTATATTTTTTATTGTTATTTGTTTTTTATATTCATATTGTTTATGTTGTTTATCAATTTATGATTTGTTTATTTTACGTTAAAAACTACAATTTTCCCCGTAAATGTTCACGGTAAACATTTTTTGTCATATACGTAACATATATGTTAAATGTTATGTACAGAGATGGTTCTGCTACATATATAAGCTTTGTTGCGTTTCAGATATGTAACAAAAGTCAGATATATAGCAGAAACATCTCTGTGTATAACATTAAACATATATGTTACATATTCAACATAAAATGTTTACTAGGTTGCATTATTAAACAGTTGTTATCGCGTTCGAAATAAATAAAAGTTTAAAGTTTGTGGTTAATCGTTAGTTTGTTTGCCAACGTCATAAATTTAACTAGAGTAAATTATTTTGGTCGACAATTTAATTTTGATATGAATCGGTATTATCTACAACTGAGAGGATTTGACCGTAAGCGTATAAGTATGGACCGCTGCTTATAAAACTTATCGTATCTTTGTAACCGCTGGATACCGCTGTTTCTACTTCTGTATAAACATTAATAAACATCCTACCTTTGTTTTGACAAAAGTACAACGTTGTGGCAGATCGTGAATTTTTTGTATGCCACGAAATAAATGATAGACGGTATATAAAATATAACTTCTTTACATTTAATTGTTATGTAATATATGTAAGACTTTCTAATATTATTTTCTTTGTAAATGAAAGTAAACGGATCAGATATTAAACAGGAAAAGTCATTTTGATCATGGAAACTTTTTCGAAGCAAAATCAGATATATCATTCTGAGGATTATAATCGTGCTATTTCTTACATCTCAATATATATAACTTTCATTCTACATATCTTCGTTATACAGTCGAATTCCGACATACTTTAACTTATAATTGATTAATTTGGACCTTCTCGAAAATATACTGTAAAGGAGAACCAAAAATTACGATTTTCATTTTTTTATATTTTGGCCACGTTTAACGACTTTCGGCACACTGTGCGCCGTATTCGCCAGACCTGGCCCTTTCTGATTATCACTTGTTCCGGTCGATGGCGTATGGCTTGGCTGGGCAACTGTTGGCCAATTTCGAAGAAGTGCAAAATTGGTTGGGGTGAATGGTTTCGGTCCAAAGACGCGTCGTTTTATCGTCGCGGTATTCATGTATTGCTGGCAAAAGTGTGTAGCTAGCGAGGGACGATACTTTGAATAAACCATTTTTTGTATTTCTCTTGAAATCTTCCATTTTTCATTGATCAAAGAAATCCGGAAACTTAGTTGCGCACCTATTAGGTGTACAAATGAATAATCTAAATTATTTTAAGCAGTTATGAAATCAATTTTAAATCAAATAGATTTTCCCGCTCTTTTGTGATTATGCAATGTTGACATATAGCTATTAAAATAAACATATTGTTCCGAATAGGAAAAGCATATCTGCGGTTTCATGTGCTTATTAAAATCGTCCAGAGGATTCTCGCAGAAAGTATTCTGGGAGGCGGTAACATCGAGTCACCGCTCGAGCAAATCGCCCATATTTACAAGCGAATTATTTGCTCGATCTTTGTTTTGGCGTTTGGCATTGTCTCGGCGCGTTACAATGTATCATTTTCTCCGTGTATAACATTCTTGCCATTAGACGGAAAGTGCGAGAATCTAATATCTCGTGACTAACGGCAAAACAATGTTTATCGCCTAGATCTGTGTGTCAACTAAACAAAGATTTGTTCGAATCTGCCAATCGGCTCAAGCCGCGTCACATATATGATATGAGATTATAAATATCACGGTCGATTTTGTAGCGACAGATTTTGGATCAGATCTCAGATTCAACTCTCGAGGATCCATTCTGCTACTGCAGTGCAACGAAAACGCGTCGCTCGGGCGCCTGATCTCATTTCTCAGGTTTCTTTGATTATTTTCTCGCTGGGAAATTCCTATCGCACTTATCAAAGTTTCGTGACACGTGGAAAATTATAATCAGTGTCCGCGCTCACAAGGGCTATATAAACCCATGGGGAAACGGATTTCACCGTACTTACGCAGGTAAGTAGTATTCATGGAACAATGAAAAACGCTAAATAAATAGAGTGCGCTTCTCAAGCGTTTTCGACAAAAAACGCTTCGAAGTTTTGCGCGGTACATAAGTGCCGCTACAGTAGCTTTTTTTTTTTTTAACGAGGAGGAAACCATTATGGATACCCTCGGGGAAGGGCCAGGGTTATGCCGGACTCCTACCGGCTAAAACCTCCCCGGGTGGCGCTGCGAAGGGACTTGGATCGGGGCCCCGGAGCCATACAACTGTTAATCGGGGCCCCGAGTCCAAATAGACTATCGTCTTTCCCTCGAGGGTGGGGGGAGGGGGGAAGCAGGCCGAAATCTATCTTCTACCACCGCTCCCCCAGGGGAAGGGGGAAGCAATCCAGGGCTCGCTTCGACCGCCGTTCCCCCTTCCACTCTTCACGCCCCGCCTCTTTGGCTGGGAAGGGGGAAACCAGCAACGCCTGCGCTTCTACCACCATTCCCAGCCAGGCGGGGCGCCGCCAATGAATGTATTATGCGACCGACTGATCCACCTCCTCAGTCGGCCGCCCTGCATGGGGACGGACCAAACGACTCTAGTGCTCCCTGAAGCACCAGGTGCCGTCCAAGATGAGGCCCAGATACCTCATCTGGGCCTCTATGGGGACCCTGACCCTTCCCACGCGTATCTGGGCCTGGGATGGCTTCCTACCCTTGCTATACAAGAAGATAGCTTCTGTTTTCAGTTCTGCCACCACCAAACCCAGATCGCGGATGGAACGCACGACGCATGCCACCGCGAAGTTGGCCGTTTCAACAGCCTCCCCCTAGTCTCTTCCCCCGGCTAAGACGAGCGTATCGTCCACATAACAGGTCATGTTGCAGCCGGGGGGAGGGCAGTTTGGAAGACTGAGTTATAGCCGAGGTTCCACAGGAGAGGGCCCAGAACGGACCCCTGTGGAACCCCGCAACTCATCCCCCTCTCGCATACCTTGCCGTCGGCGTCCCTCCAGGATAGACGCCGACTCCG